TGTACAAAAGTCATGACCACAAACAGCAGTAAGAATACTGTCAGTGGTCTGTATGTACTACAGAGATTGACTAGCACATACACGGATCTAATTCTGCATGTTTCTCATAGATGTGCTGTGTACAAGATCCACCGGTAGGTCTCCAGGTTCAGATGGTCCCAGATACAAACAAACAATAGTAAGCAGGTGACCATGGCCCAACAAGGCAGCAGTGGCACCATGACTAACAGGGCTTTTCTGTGTCCGTTAACAACATGGCTGTGATTTTGGCGCTTTCAGCCCACACATGGGACTACTGCAAGCATTTGTTACCCGGGTTAGTGTCGTTTTAGTAACAGGGCTCAGTGGGTGTACAAGTTTTAGTTGTTACACAGACATATTGTGTCTGAATCAATGACATCCATAAACACACAACCATCAACACACTGCAACACTTCCCAGACACCAACCATGTCCTGGAGGTATGGCTCATCCATGTACTACACACAAACCTTATGCAACAGTGGACACAACAGCTCAATGCATCTTGTGGGGTATCAGGGAGGCCAGTTTTTAATTATTTTACAGTATCACATCGTAGACATGCCTCCAAAGACACACCATAGAAACATCAAGCCTGAGGGTTCACACATCAGCCATCTGTACATTCACATACACACAGTTCAGTGCTGATTTTCAGTAACAAACTTGATCTCATTAGGCACAAAGGGACAAATATACCTTTACATACACACATACAAAGACAGTGTTATGTTGACCACAATAAGATACAAGTATCCAATGATACACATATTCCCAAATAAAGGTATCAATGATAGTATCATCACAAACTGACAGACAGCTATCCATAAACATACGGTCTAGTCCGTTGAGTAGCAAAGATACCAGAACCTGCACCCAGTGAGATCTTACTTCTAACAACTAATGTTGTCAGCAGACACTGAAAAAAAGCACACACTGACATGGGAAGCAGCTGTAAAAAAAAAAAAAAAAACTGCTGCTGCTGCTAGGTTAAACATGACTGAACACATAAACAACTGCTGCTATGTAAACGAATAATAAAATCAGTTTGCATTATGTTGAACACATCGGAGCCTCATCACAAACAGACAATGGAAGCAATGAAACAAGGCAATATTTTCATCTAAACACTTGGTCCAGCAGTTACAAGTATGATGACAAAATTAAGTTATATATAACTGGTGTCTGAGGCATATGCAGCAATACACTGATCTGGAGAGCTGAATCATGTTTTTAACTTTTTGTAAATAATGTACAATTTATAAACACATCCCCACCCCCCTTTTAGTCAGTGACTATGGGCTCCTAACTATCTGTAACCAATAATGAGCTGAAGACACGTGCACAAATGTGTGGATGAATATGCTAGTGCTAGTATTTCAGACACATCTCAACAGATCCTAGTCACAAGTGCACAATGAATGAACATCCATGAGATAGATGCACAATGAATGAACATCCATAAGATATAGACATGGCATTGGCCAATGAAGAGATGAGATAAAGCTTGAAGACACTGTGTGGCCACGTACTACAGCAAAAACAAACATATAAGATAAGACAGCACTGAGGTATTTAGTTTTTTGCATTGTTTACTGGGATCAATTAAACATAGGAACAGAGGCAAGCATCAGGTTGTCTTAACATAAAACCCACAGAACCACAAGCAAGGATCAAGGATTCTCAACCTCCTGTTAACCCAAATTGAAGTACTGCCTATGATGGGTCAGATCCAATACCGATATAGCACTTCTGCAGTGATACAAGTGACAACACATTATTTTATACACCACAAACAGAAATTCTGCCACACAAGAAACAGCCAGTCTATCCAAAACAAGGTGGACAGATACCATCATACATGCACACTTCCTACAAGCAGAACATTCATATAAAGAACATACTGAAATCATACTACATTACCAAACATTATCTTGGTTAGTTGCGTATCCTCTACAGGATGTTTCAGAACCAACCCCAGCATTGTTTGGCTGCTTGTGTCTCACAGGGTAATTTCTGTTCAGTAGCTAGACACTGCCTTCTGGGTGGTCAGTTCTTGAAAACCCTGTTTAAATCAATCGCCTGCAGCTACAATCAAACAGGGCACCACGGGATTACCAACAATGTATGCAGTACTTGGCCTCAAGCGTCAATATAAACAAAGAATTGCAACAAATATATTATTTCTACATGATCATTCATCTTGTCAAAATAAATGTAGGAAAAAAATGAGAATCCAATGAAAAGACATTAAGGTACCACAACAAACAAACATTGATAAATGAATAAACACAAAATGTAGTGGGAACCGTACACGACATAAATGAGTGACAATTCAGTTCAATAACCAGATATGAACACAATTTTTATGTTGTAGGGTCTCTACTGAAAAAAAAAAAGGTGGGGGGGGGGGGGGGGGGCGTTGTTTATAGTAGGGAGAATGGGTTGTAGGCCTCAACATGGCCTCATCACAGATTGGTTCAACAAGAGCCGGCCGGGGTCAGGAAAAGAAATGCAAGTGTGGTGGAGGGTATCATTATATCACATGATTGCATACTTCCCAGGACTTTCATACAAACAGGCTGCTGGCGCCGTACAACTTGCTACGTGCAAGCTATTGCCTGATGACCTCAGGTCAAGCCACAAGATTTCGTAAGTTCAAAAACATTATCCACAAATCTTTCAAACAATGTTTTCCCCATTGAGAATTTCAATGATGACAATAATACACAAAATTCACAAATCATACAACCTATTTTTACAATGCACATCAAATGCCTGAGGGAATCACCTGGTTCATCAGAGACTTCTGTACGAAGTGTACAATGTAACGATGGGATGTGTGGTTTGTGTAGTTTAGTTAAGATGTATTCATATTTGTGCTCAATATGTTGACACGTTTGATGAGATACAGCCAAGCATAACTGGGATTTAACTGTGTCCTCATTTTTAAGTTCATAAAAGTCGTCAAGCCCACATATTTACCCAGTAAGGTGATATATAAATTTTAGTTATGACATTCAACAGATGAATATCAGATATATATCCATCAATACTGAAACTACATAGCAATTATATTTTATATATCAACTACTGCTCATGTATATATTAATAATTCACATATCTTCAGTTAATTATCATTAAACTAAAATAAATTTAAATATCATTAATTATATAAAAATTAATGTTTATTAGAGAAAAAAAGAAAATGCAACATGTTTGTGCACGATTTGATTCTACTGGTGCTAAATCAAGGGCAAAGGGAATCCTAAATTACTGTTGCCGTTTCTGCTTAATCAACTGTTAGGAAAACAGAATAAAAAAGGAGAAAACCTAAAATGTATATAACAAAGAAATAGTAATTTCTTTTAGAGACTACTTTACAGAAAGAGAAGTCATGTGAAATTGGTAAAAGTAATTTTGTTAACCGACAATTTGCTGAGGGGACCTCTCCATTTAGCAATGACAAACAATTGCTCATACACATTAATGAGGAGTGAATTCTGGAGAATACAGAAAAAAGAAAACCTTGCCACAAAAATTAAATTTTTTTTTATCGAGGAGAGGATGAAAAGCAATGTCAAAGAGGAGACGTCATAACAAAAAAAAAATGATAGTTAAGCGCTCTTGGACTGCATTCTAAGATGATGATGTATCCACTGTGAGCTAAAGGGGTAAAAACTAGCTACCATAATAAAACAAAAGAACATATTGAAATGTGATGCCAAAGGGGATATACTACACACGGGCAGCCTGTTTTTCACACAAGTTCATGTGAAACAAATTATACAAAATATCTCTCAGTGCCAACAGAGCAAATCTATACTCTATAGACTAGAAATGATCATTTTTTTCACTTCACTGTGCATTTTTTATTAGACTTCTAGTTCTACACACACACAAATGTTGGGAAAATGAGTGCAGAGCTCTATGAGGTAAATGTCAGTTACTGAACAAATATTCAATGAGGAATTGCTGAAAAATGCAATGACTGCCTCAAACTTGCTGGACTGGATGCACAAAACAAACTGCTGCGGCAAAAAACTTTTTTAAAAATAAATCTCCTTTAGATGAGGCTTGGTTGTCTAATCTTAAATAAAGGGGAACACACACACAATGCACATTAAAAACCCCTGCAATGCTGGATCAGCCATCCAAACTGTAATACCTGTGTAATAAAACTACCAATCTACACACTGCCTGTCTCTTCTGTATTTGTTCTACATTTACGATCACTGCTAGATTTAAAACATAAACTCTGTACACATACGCTTTAAAATGAATTTATAGATACACAATTCACCCACATCTTCCAGTCAGACTATCATCCGTACACTCATATCTAAGTTACATACCTATCCCCCTGGATGAAATTTTCTACAAGTTTAGGTAAGGTGATTAGCTTCTGACAAACAACAAGATATATTCGGCCACACATTTCTACAGCAGAAGTAATGTTAAACCTAAACTAAACATGACATAAAAATGAAACAAGCAAACTGAGGTAAATAAAACTGGACATGAACACCCACACGAGGTAGACTTCATTCTGAAGGGAATAATTCCATGATTCTTTCAGACAAAATAGAATGTATGAAAGTTGTCATTTGTGAATGTTTTCTGCAGGGCTGAACAGTTGCTGATTCACCAGTATCTTGATCAGATGCAATTGGGTAGATGTAAACGTTTTTGCAGTGTTAAACTGAAGATGAGGGTAGTCATGGACTGGAATCTTCGTGTTGTTTAACAGCAGAAATAACCTTGTCACATGCAGCCAGTTTTTGTGCTTGGGAAACTTCATGAGCTAGATATGACCTGAAGAATGACGACAGCTACGCCAGGTACAAGGTGGAGGATGATATACAACCCCAGCTGGCAACCTTTTGGCAGAAGTAAACGACAGTGTTAGGCTGAATCTCAGCAGGCTTCACCACAGACTACAAATCTCGGCCTGTTTTTGTTTTGGGTGTTGTTTTCTGTCAGTAAACATAGGGCTGTGCAGCCTGGCTGCTGGAGACAGTATTGTCAACTCCCAATATGTTGATGTCACGGACGTCAGTTGGTGTTGTTGGCTGTTCTTGTTTCTGTTCTTCGTGTTTGCTGACATGCTGGTCTGTCTGAGCTGCTGAAGCCATGCAGGCACGGACTGTCTGGTCCACCTGTTCCACACACGATCGGATCAGATCCTAGTTAACAGAAAACGCCAGCAGTCAGCCACAAGTAATCTCACAATTTCATAAACAAATCAATTTACAGTCACATGTCTTCGCATTATGAAACTGAAGATTACTATTATTACACTAGTTATTTTATTCATTACTACTTATTAAGCCAATTCTAAAGCAGTCTGGTTTCAATCACAGAAGAATAATTACACTTCCTTAGCACAACACACAAGTAGTTTCAAGGCTACCCACAGAACAAGTAGGACAGACAACAGATAAACACACATTTTTTAAAGGTTAAGAATAGGCAGCCAGAGAGAGATACAGAGCCAGAAAGAAAAACTAGAATAAAAGAAAAACCAGAGAGGTCACAGAGAGAAACCACAACCAAATAAGATGGAGACAGGCAGGTGTGGACAGTTATAGAGATATGGAAGATAAGACACTAGAGCAGTGCATCCAAGTAAAGAAAATAAGCACAGATACATAAAGACAATCCATCTAACACTTGGACCAAATTGTACTTACCATATCAATGCCGGTGATGTGATGTAGACTAGCCAGATCAGTCTCACTGTGGGGCTTCAAGTGCTTCAGGGCACAAGCTATGGCAGAGCAAGCGATCATTGAGGGAGGGGTCTGCATAAACTTGCAATCTGTGGACACCACAAACATTTTCGGTGACATACTAATTTTGGAGCAGCTGTTGATTACTAGATTTGACGGTATATATATCGTCTGGTCTCATCACATGGCAGCTACACGTTCACTACCAATTTGCTACACCAGCGAGCTATGGGCAGGAAATTGCATGACAAATCTCATTAAAGAAAATTTTTTGGATTTTTCTAAAAAAAAAAAAAAAATTTTAAACTTGAACTGTTTACTGGTTAGTCAAATATACACACGAAAAAGCCTTAAGATGAAAAAATACAGGTGTCGCTCACTATGTGTGGATAAAGGCCACATTCTATTGTTTGTGACAAGCACCTGGCCTCCAGCCTGGTTAACCACAGTTGGTTTAAGCCCCTCGATACAGCAGTTACAAAAAAAGCCATTTAGGTAAAGAATTGAGATAAGGTGGAACAGTGCATTTGTAGGTGATTAACTATAAATAGGGCGTCTATGCTGCCAGAAGTCGTCCGGATCAATTGCCATGTATATATCTCCTACACCTTTTCTAAGCAGACCTCCGATGCCTTTTCTGCAGAGATTGTATGCCGCCCAAAAATAATGTTGAGGAACACCCTAGTACAGAACTCAACCTTAGACCACTATGTTGGTAGGTAACCGAGCACCAGCCCACCATGACTCACAGGAAATATATACGGGGACAGAGGCTGCAGCAAATCTCAGGTCCACAATCGTCCTGGTATAAGAGGCTATCAAATGACTGCCCCCCCCCCCCTCTCTCTCTCTCTCTCTCCAGGCAGTCGGACACTATTCAGCAGATATCAGGCGCCATCGTTGACCAGTGTTCTCAGTGAGGCTGGTTAAACTGATCTTAGTCATCCAGGGAGGGAGGAGAGGGACAGAAGCGATGCAATGGCCAGAAGCGAACGCTTTCCGTGCCGCCGCTGTGGGTCATTAACTGGTAACAACCAAAGACTTGTACTAGTGGTTAGTTGTTAACTTATTACCTCCAACACACTATCCAGAACTTTGACAATGAAATATTTACCACAGCGCTTATGTGCGTGCACAATGACGCGGATCAAAGCATTGTCAGTACAACACTTCAAGTAAAGTCGCGATAAAGTGCATCACTGAAAGTACAAGACGACACTGAAAGTACAAGACAACACTGAAAGTACAAGATAACACTGAAAGAATTCATAACACTGAAAGTTCAATAGTGAAAGTACACGACAAAGTGTAAATTTCCGAAGACAACAGATACAACACAAAACCAGGGAAACATTTCACAAGTTAACAACCAGCACAAACATATTGAGGCGCTCACCTGTTGCACACAGCGCAGCAATGGTCTGTGCACGTCTTTTAATAATGTGAGCGTCGTATTTGTTGAATGGCATCCGGTGTAAAACATGATCCAAGAAGTCGTTGGGTACAACGGCGGACAGGTCCCATTTGAGCAGAAGTAGAATCCAGGATTCCATGTCCTGTAGATAGGGTAAGAAAAAGGACAGGTCACTAGCTGGTCTCACATCAAGTAACAACAGGACTAAATGGGAGATGTCCCACGCTCTGATGCTCCGTTATCCTACCTATAAATCCAGTATATGTCACGGGTAATAAACGGCGAGAATGCAGACAAATGTAACATCTATTTGCTAAATCAGTAGGCTCCAACTTTGGGGGGAAAAAAAGGGGGGGGGGGGGGGGTTGTTTCAAGGAAGGCGTCGAGTAGTTTTAAAAATGAGTGCATTTATACTCATAATCCGGTAAGTTTTTCCGATGTTTAATTATAAACAAAATATTCTTTATACAGTCTATAAAACCACCAAGCCAAGAATTGTTGCGCGTGTGAGCAGTAAAAACGTACTTAAGCAGAGCTATAGAGAAAAATTGATGATTGATCAGCTATAGGTACATGCAGATTTAATCTTGCTGCCTCCACATGGCAGTCTACCGCTAGGGAAAACCCCGACCACTGTTTTAGCACGCAGCTATGACAGCTTCCTAGTTCAGCATGGGAGGCGGGCGCTAACAAAGACAAGTAGTCGTCTGACATAACACATAAGCTCTTAGTGTGATCACTGAATAATTCTTATAAGTCGGCCAAGTATCCTGACGCCCCAGTGTACTAAGGAAAACTCAGAGAGGAAGAGGAACAACAATTTTATAAAGTAGTTAGCACCGTATGGGGTTGGAAGTAATGGCTCCACAGGCTTCTGTCTCAGGTACTTTCAGTCTGTGTCAAGATTTTCCTCTGTGACATAATCCCCCATCATCTACTTTTCTGAACTCCACCCTCTTTCTTCCAGTCCAGCTTTCTCTTAGTCCAAAACGATCCAATTTTCTTATCACCCAGCAGGTAATTAGCACTCTTCATACGTTTCAATTTCAATTCTTTCAATTGCCATCCATGGTTGTTTACATCATTCTAGGGTACTGCATCTTTTCTTCTACAAAACATCGCACAACTAAATGAACACCCAGCGGTGGGAAATTGTAATACAGAAAGACAAATTGTCTGTACAGTGTGCAGTACAAGAGACGTACTTGCGGAACTCGTCTCTATCTCTCCTATATCAGATTACATTTCCGCTCTGGCGATAACTTCCGTACCAGTCTTAGATAAGACTCCTCTTCTCTATAGCCGAACTCATCCCCTGTTGGTGGAAAGTCTGTCGGCTGGGAGAGCCGGCGAACTAGCAGCTCCTGGACAAATGAAAGCAACCTGTTCCATTCTGTCTACACCTCCGCCCGTTACACACTTTTAAGGTACAGGCAGCACTTCCGTTCCCATAACCTCTGCAACTAGTTTATTTTAGCCAGCTTCCGGAAACAGGTGCATGTTTGTAGTGCCGGCTCAGCATCCTCCATCCTGTAGATCAGACCCTGCTGCTTCAGCAAGGACAAACTTTCACACGTGTGAATAGTTCTTGTATGTCTGACCTACCTACGTATGCCTTATCAATGAGTCAGTACTAATTGACAAACATACACCCGTCAGATACTCTAAAAGCTCCGGTTTGTAGGTGCATTACATATATATGCCTTGAAGGAGATTTGAACCATGAACATACACGCTGGCTACTGCGCCACCACGGCTGATAAACTGTAGACCTGTGTGGAGTCTTAACAGGGGACAACTATAAAGTGGAATGATCCGGAAAACTCATGGCTAGACCCAAGGACTGAAATGAAGAAGTCTTTGACGGACTCCCAATAAAACGCCTCATAAGAGGATGAACCTCAACACGTGACAATCCTGTTGTTGTAGCGTTCAATATCTACAGCAACACTTATGGAAGGAGACGGATCACTTGTTGAGTCGTCCAGAGAACCGAAACCAGAATCTCCGACCATTTTTGTTTTCCGATAACACAGAAAATTTCCAGATAGTAGTCTTCGTGTCCACAGCCCAGCCTACAAACAATCAGATGTAGGCTGGTAGTCCCTCTACTAAGCAGAGTCATAGAGTGTTAGTAGGCTTGTACAATCCTGGACATTGTACAAACTGGAAACAGCTGGATTTAGAAGCCACTGCCGCTTCTGGAATCCGGCTACAACTACTGGGGGCAGGCAATGATCTACAGCAGTGACTTTTACTTCCTAATGCTTCTCCTCCCTTAATACAGTTCCATTAACCCCCAATTATTTTCCTTTATAACTTTAATGAATATATGTTTACCGATGGTCGTAGGCTACCCCTGTGAATGGGTCGTTCGACAGGCAGGTTGAAAACCGCTGATCTAAAGACGATCAACTAAAACTTCTGCTAACCAATCCCATGTAACAGCGCTAATTGCAGTATCAGACAACAGGCAAAAGAATGCAGTGTGGGTGCAGGGAGAGTCGTTCTTTATACAAGCTACATAACAGCACGGCCTGACCAGGTCCCATCACAAGACAGGTTGATTTATAAAGCCGTGATTGGCTCCCAACTCGATACCACGCTGCGGTCAGCAGTTTCATGTGGTTCTGAAGAGGGCGGGGGTAAGCGAAAACAAGCGAGTGCGCTCATTTGGTTAATTTATGCGATCTATTTCTTATGGCTGCTGAATTAGCCCCTATACTTTTTGTGTTCTCACAAAAACTGAACACAGAACATTGTTACTGACTTCTCATCCAGACACTTTTAACCACTTCACGCTTCCCAATCCGCCCATCTGGTAGTTAAAATTGTCAAGACACCTATAGCTATTGTTTCACAGCTACACATTCGTGCAGACAGCTGTGCTTTTCAAAACATGACTGTCATCTACAGCATGTGGATCTGATCTCTCCCTCTCTCTCTCTCTCTAAGACTGACGTTAATAGACCTTATCTGTGTCAGCACGGTCTAAGAAGTGGTGCTGGTATGCTAGGTCGAATACACTTATGTAGTCACACTGCTACATAAATGATGCCCCATCCAGGACACAGTTAAAACTAACAACACTAATAGGTAACCGTAACCCTACCACCATCAGAACAAAGCAGGTGATACAATTTCACAGTTCAGGTGGCTACTCTCTGTTTAATAGCAAACAGCCAAGTGAAAATCAATCAAGCAGGCTAGACTGACTGGTAGGTCGTCGCCAGGCCCACCGCCCGACTTACACGCTGACCTGGTTACTGCTCTTGATATCAGCTGTGCCAGCGGTTTTCAACTTCATCTGCTTCAAGTACCACTTCTTTACATACTGTAAGCTGCGCTACAGTTACTGCAGTACAGGATGTGAGACTGGCTCTCATACAGACCAATCCCTATCACCAGACAATTGGTAGATAGGCGATACACAATATTTCATACTGTTTCAATGTCCATTCTAAAAGTAACTATATTTTTTATAATACAGCTATTACTGGAAATAGTTTACACATTCTGCCAAATTATGTTAAAGTAATACAGCAAAATATAAAGTGAAACAAAAATAATGGACCCATTTCCATTTGTAGATGACCAAAAGCAGAAAGAACTTGGTAACACCTGACAAACTTGAATGCAACTGTTTGACACCCAGTGATAGCAACAAGTGAGCTGATTACAGTGCTAACATTTGTTATCGTAGAATCCAAACCATCAGTCCTACAGCCCCTGGAAAACTGGTCAGTCTTTACAAATGAAGGCTGCAGCACCAACATTGAAACCTGACAGTGGACATCTCTCATCACTTAGTCCTCAAGCTGTAAATCCTAGTGCAAAGTTCTGGTTGGTTCTCCACTCTCATCTTGTTTCAGAACTTGGAACGGAACAGTCCCTAGAACACAGCCCAATAATTGATGTGAAGGTGGTGTGGAAGAGAATAGTCCCTAGAAAACAGCCCAATCATTGATGTGAAGGTGGTGTGGAAGAGATTAGTCCCTAGAACACAGCCCAATCATTGATGTGAAGGTGGTGTGGAAGAGATTAGTGCCTAGAACACAGCCCTATCACAATCAGTCTTACCAATGATATACCCATATGATGCTTATAATTACGTACTAGTGCACCATGTGACATACTAGGCCACTGCATTATGAGGTAGCTAGCAAGGTAATTCTCTGCTTCGCATTTTTCACATTCACTGGCTGTAAATTACAGCAGACTGTTCTGCTTGCTTATCTATTCTGTTTTGAAACTTAAACTTACCCCCCCCCCCCCCCCCCCCAAAAAAAAAAAAAACCATGACTCTGCTATTATAATTTACATATGAAATAACAGCAAATAAAGAGCATGCAAGGATGCATAGGCTTTACATGTAGGTTACAAGACTGGGTGCACATCAGTGTTGTCATTACCCTGTTCTGTACCACCGACATAACAGAAAGGTCAAATTAACTTACCGTAAGATCCTCCAGTGTGATAGAGTTGTCTGTGTATATGACCAGTTGTTCTCCACTTATCGGTGTGGTCTCCTTCAACTTTGAAGCCAAAAACATGCAACCTGCCCCTAACAGTTGTAACCGTGTCCGTTTAATATCCTTTATAGAAAGAAATCTGTCTAAATAGTTCACACTTAGGGGAAACACTTCCTCCTCCATCTTGTGTTCAGAACACACCTGGAAAAATAAAGAAGGTCAAGTTAGTGATGATGATGTTTTTGTGGTCATGTCTTACTGTCTACCTTCTCTATCAAAATGTGTGGTGGAAACAGTGATCTGTGAATCTAGCTCTAGTTCTGTCCATACATACTGAGCAGACAATTAACTGCTTCTTTCGTAACAGCATAGTGATCCAGATAACATGCCATATTCTCTAGCATGAAATATACCTGCACTCTCTGCGACGAAGCATCAATGCCATATTCTCTAGCATGAAATATACCTGCACTCTCTGCGACGAAGCATCAAACTGCACCATCATTACCATGTGCCATGTTGAGTTCCATGGAGCCATGGTTAGCTGTCTAATTAGATCAATCCCAGGTTCAAGTCTGTACTTGCTCAGCTTATGTACAGTGGTTCCCTGTATGGGATCCGGGGACCCTTTGTTTCAAAAATAATCTGGAAGGGGAAGTATCATGGAAGGTGACTCAACTTACGAAAAATAACCTATAAAATCTTCCTTTCTCCTACATCTATGTGCTATGTTACCATTTTAGTAGTGGGAACAGAATATACTAATTAGGCTTTTTTTTCCTATGAAATCAGAGAACATCTGCTCGAGAGGCACAGAACCAAAAGCAAACAAATAGGCCAGATGTGAAAAACTCATGTGTCTATGGAACAAGACTTAAGACCAAAAGTAGACAAGCAACACAAGAACTCCGGCAGGGGTTTACAGCCAGTCAAAGCAAAGAAGAAGTAATGTGGCAAAAACATGCGGAAATGTATTATCTTTCTTTTGCTCTTTTCCTATCAAGATTCAAAGTTGTCATAATGATTTCAAATGAATCAAATACACTTCAGGGTGTGGGAATGGGTAATATAACCACTACTGCACTGCTTAATGAAGATAAACTGAGAAATATATATGTGTGGCAATACTTGCATGAAGTCAAAGTCGTTATAATTGCCTAGACATACTCGAGGAAAAAAAAAAGTTGAGTTTTTCTAGGTTAATTTCCCCCTTTAATTAATTCAAATTAATTGCTGGGACTAATCAATACGTTCAAACTGATCATAGTCACAAAGGCTGTGAGTGGCCGACTAGTGGTTGCCCCCCACCTGTTGCAGACCTGCCTTGACTACACTTGCCACACATGTGAATCTCTCAATACACAAAAACCAGTCTCTGTGAGATGAGCATGCACAGAAAACAACCCATTTAACACATCTACAGATTATAACTATTAGTGAAGGTACAAGCTTGGTGAATATTTCTGTTATAATCAAGCTGGATGGAGAAATTTAAGGACCCAGTCTACACCTCGGCCATGTTGAAGGCGGGCTAGACCGGTACGATATTCACTCAGTATTATAGAAAGATATGTGTTATCAGCGAATTTAACCTAGGAAGGTATCAGCACAAATAACCTTCCTATGAAAACGATGATAGTGGACAGTAGACATTGAGCAAGGGTTTAGAAATGTCAGGATGATGTAGCGCAGACATGGGGCTTTAGGGTTAAGATACCTAAGAACAATCTTTAATATTATACAGTAAAGTAAAAATCTTTTAACTTATAATTCATTCTAACATACTTCTGGGAAAAAGCCATCCAGTCTCAGAAGTGAGCACCATCTGGTCAGAGCTGAGAGATGACCACCACTTACTTGACCGGCATGGACAGGTCATTATAATTATATTCTCGGCCTTAGGACAAGACATTAAGTGAACTAAAACATATGTACAGGCTTCGTTTAAGTAGTTCAGCACTGTGTGGGCTGTGTGTGCAGACCATAGAACATGTCTTGCAAGAATGTCCCGTGTACATCCAGTTATGAAGAGAATTTTACTGGCCCACCACTGGGTCAACACTGCACTCAACGTTGTATGGAACTAAAAAGAAACTGCTAAAAACAACTTTGTAAATTAGAAAGCGAACACAAGAAGAATTTGCTTGCGTTTCTCGATGAAGTACCGACAATTACACTATGCATGACTTTTAGTCAGTTATATTACATTATTAATTATTGTAAAGTGAGGCAGCTTACTGAACACGTGAACGTTAAACGTACATACATTGACATCACATATACATTTGTTAAGATACATACCTCAGCCATCCATTCTGTGACCATTTTCCTCATATAAGGCTGAATGTCAGTCTGAACACAATTAAAATAACAAGTATGTGGTAGATATTTATCCTCTGTGGCCAGTAAATTGGCTAAAACTCGGTTGTCATTGAGTAAGACGGGATCTAGAAGGGCTCTCTTCGTCTTGCCGGTGACGTCCGTTTCACAGCATAGAAGTGATAGATGCTGCTCCATGTTTCTCTGGAAGTTGTTCACGGAAGACACCACGAAAAATCGCCGTACTGTCGAGGATCTGACTCCAAAATGGTCACTAAACCTGCCGACTACTTCAATAAATATGAGGTAGAAAGGTAATCAGTCGGCAGTGAGTGTGGAGTGAGAAAACGGCAAGTAATGACAGCTGCAGTACCGACCACCCTTTATATGCAGGCCTCCATTTATTCCACGGCTTTTCGGATCTCGCACGTATTGCGCATGCGCAGTGGCTAGATTTCTAGGAGAAAATGAAACTTTCGGTTCATATTTCATCTACTTTCTTGTGCATGCACTTATAAAAGTCACATTTATCATTCTCTTGCAATTGTAGACATAAATTAACATGCATGAGCGTTTAAATTTTGTTATTTTGGAATTGCGATTTGACAATAATAATTTTTCTTCCATTTTAGGGGCGGGGTAGTAATATTCATGAGCTGGGGAGACAGGCTCAGCTGTGAGCGTGTGGATCGGCGGGCGGGCGCTGGGTGGTCGCAGTTTGTCGACGGGACCACAGTGCGTGTGGGTTCCTGGGAGGATGGATCGCCGGCCTCTTGGAAGGGGCTGTACGAATCTCTACTCTACAGTACATGTGAGTTTCTGGGGAAGGGGTGGGGTGTGGATCGCCGGGCTCTTGGTCACGGTTGTATGCATCTCCATAAACCCCTCTAAACAGTTCTGCCTTTTGCAGAGTTATGGCTTTTGACCAAGCTGGGTCTTAACCCCAAGATTCATACAAATCAAACTACACAATATAGCATTATTTTCCAGGGAGGGAAAAAAGTTATAACAAAATCTTACGCTGTGCACAAATAATTATATTAATTTAACAAACAATACATTGCGTTATCAGTGTGGTTAAATGCATTATTGTGAACGCATTTTTTAAATGTAGAACGAGAAACTATTGTTTTATGTTACTCTGGGTGTCTATTGGATGTCCTATTGTGGGGAAGCGGTGCAACATCAGAGTCATCGACTAATGTAGGGTTTCCTTTGAAGTCGCAGTTCGTTTGCCTGGGGGAAAGGGGGGGGGGGCAATGAACAAACAGTCTGTGTACGAATATGGAGATATGTAAAACGGATGCGTACGCAAAACTTATGTTTTGGAATAAATCCAAAGTCCAGAGGTGGACTAACAGCCAGAACTTTTGGCAGGAGTTTACAATCGGTGAACACGAAGAAGAATTATATTGCTATTTATGTTAATAATGCTTGTTATTGTTATTTGTACTAAATTCACCATGTGCCTTATAAGATGTCGCTGGTAAGCAGGTCTCATCTGAAAATTCCAGTTGTTGGTGTTGAAGACACTAACTAGACAGCTTGGCAACTCACATGGCAAGAGATCTAGATGGATACCAAAACATACCCGGAGAAGAAAAAGATACACGAACAGAGCAGCTGCAGTAGAAGGAAACAGTTAACCAACGCCTTCTCCGAATTAATTGAGTTAACAGCTTAAATCGTTGTCTAGATATGAATGCTCCAGTGAAAGATAAACGGTAGCAGAGGTAATCAAGCAGAATTGATCGTGCAGTTCTCAGTGCTGTTTAAACAATACGACTAACACAGCATAAATACACACCAAAGCATGAACACGAGTCCTTAGTTTTTATTTTTTTTAGTTATGTCTCTTGTTTAGAGCCGCCGTGGTGTAGAGGCTAGACATTCGCCTACGGATCCGAAAGTCGTGGGTTCAAATCCGAACGGAGCTGGTCTTTTAAAAAAATGACATAGCAAACAATCAGGGAAAAGACCTTAGAAGTAAAGGTGGCCGGGTGTTGCTTATCACATCATACACCTAGTCTATATGATTTAGATGTAGCGCTATGTGCCCTCAACGCTTGATTGCGCGGAAAAGGGTACTTTATGTCTAATCTCCACTATGTTTTTATCTATACTGTTTTTCTGAGTCCTGTTTTTCTGCATCCTGTTCTTCTGTATTAGATAGTCTATAGTCGCACCACACAGTCTATTTTCATGTACTTAAACAGCTTAACAGTCTTTAATACGTTTTGTAACTTTTTAACACTTTCTGCGTCGCAAATAGTTGAGACAACGTAGACGAATGTGTTAAAGTCTGGGTGCTTTTCCTTTACAGGACGTTGCAGAACCGGCCCGAGCATTTGTGCCTGTGTGTGTGCCGTTTAGGGTTTCAGTCTCGAGGTATGTGTCCGCCTCGAGTTTTAGAGGTTCCGGGTTCAATCCCCGGTAAGAGTTGGGATTTTTCAAGTGGACTTGGTCTTCTAGTAATTCCCCCTGGTCTCTGGTAGTGAGATCTGACGCCTGTGTGTGCATTCTTGCGCACGCAACGAAAACCTAGTCTGTTGGAAATTCGAAAAGAGTGGCCTGACGGCGGGCAAACTCAGCACTCCGGAGTAAAAAAGCTTGTGTGATTGTGTGTGTGTCGTTCAACCCCACCAGGACCGTACAACGAGCTACAATCACCTGGTGACACAAAGTGCCAACATTCGGATGAGGACCGCCCAGGCAAAAATCCCCGAAACCGCTTCGGCCGTTTTGTTATATGAGGGCCCCTGCCTACAGCCGGACCCGGGGCTGTAAAATAACGAAAATTCGCGTCCCACATTGGGACGGGAAGATTGTAATTAAGCGCGTTCTAAAAAACCTATGCCACATTCGCTAACCAAAGCCAGTATTGCACCGAAAATATGAATTCACGCCTATAAAAGGAAGGGAACAATCAAAATTTGACGTAGTGTCATTTAGTAATGATTGCCTATATTTTGAAAAAAAAAAAAAAATTATAAATCGAAACTAAAAGGTAGTGTTCAGTAAATAGAATGAATTTACTTTGGATTGCGAAATTAATTTGTTAAAACTTACTTGAAAAATTACAGATAGAGGGGACATAACCGTTAAAATGTTATAAATAGAAATGAATAGCCAGGTCGTGGAAGATTCGGTAGAACTCAATGATAGGAGACAGCCAATCAGGGCGAAGGGAAGTAGGTCAAAACTTTGTGCAACATTTTATGAATGAACGAACTGGCTGCATTCTCTCAGGTGTGAATGAAAGCTTTTACCTGCAACTCGTCGTTCGCTTTCAAGTTCCTCCCAGAGGCTGATAGGGATCAATAAGAACTGGGCTTAAAGGCAGGGTTGGCATGTAGACATTCTCTTGTTTACAATGTAGCTATTAAAAAACATAGACGGAACAAAGAAAGACAGCAAGTAACAAAAGACAGGTACCGCTTAGTAAAGATAGTATCAAGTCAGCAACTATAATAAATAACTAGCATCAATGATTCTTCTTCTTCTTTCTTTCACTTAATATCAATAATTAATCAACATCATCCTGTTGTGCCGTGTACTCCCACATTAGGTTTCACAGTCTATGTCTCATTTGTGATCTATCCTGTGTAGTGTTCTCGACATCACGTGTGGAATCCAATCCAGCACCCTTGGTCTCTGTCATCAACGTTCGTCATATTGTATATCCTTCTTTCCTGAATGCAAATAGTTCCCATTTCGGTGATTATCTGTCCGATTCTACCAGCGTCGACTCGTCTTGTCGCTAAAAGTCGAAAGGGCGATGCTATTTAAAAAAAGGGGGTGGAATGGGAGGGGGTGTTGTCATCATTTTTTTTTAAATATGATGTAACCAAAAAAAAAAAAAATATAAAAAGAAAAGGAAATAGATTAACTTTATTAAATTCTAAGCAAACCAATTTTTTTATTTACACAATAATATCTTAAATTGTTACAATTCAGTCTTGATCCATTCACTTAAAGACGAAATCCATTCTTCTGGATTTTACTTTACTCGAAAAGTTTCATGTAACAGGGATGACATTGCTGGCTGCAATAGCTTCCATCTATCTGATTTGCAGCTCCTTATCTCAAACGTGTGTGCACGCACACAGCAGACAAACAGCTAGAGCTATGAACAACTACAGTTTAATGTTTTAAGGACTGTGTAATTGTTTTCCTGAACTAGGGCTTACACGTACATACCCACTCCCTCCCCTTTGTTTTTCTCTTAGACACGAGCAGCAGATACCACAATATCAAATCAAATATTTTCAACTTTTTGACGTTCACCAGATATCAACTTCGGTGGACAATTTTGGTTGTTCACCCACTCCTGGGCTTTAGACTTGGCTCAGGGCTCAAGTTGTGCTCGGTCATCCGTTTTACAAATCTGGTTTATATGTGGAATAAACACCACAGATTTTGATCTTTTTAATAATTTTTTTTATTATTAAGCACGTTGGTGCGCATCATTAATTGCTGGCTGCTCTGCAGTCTGTTGAGAGTTTTCTGGAGACACTTGAATGTTCTTCTGTGGTCTCATCTTGCAGCATAATGACCACCAAATCACATTCTCAGTTTCCTGCTCTCTGCAATGGTCCATCTGTGTATACGTGTGTCCAATCTGCATTTGGGAAAGAGTTGTAGACATTTTCAAGGGTCTTTGCATGCAGTACTAGGTCACATTCTTCAGCCTTTCTGTCTATGCATAGGACAGTTGTAGTAACTGTATAGTATATAGTGTGTAGCTACTTCATCCCGTTGACAATTTTATCTAAGCCTAAAGTAGTTTTTTTTTTTTCTTATGAAAGAAAGAAAGAAGAAGAAAAAGGAGGAAAAAAAGAAAAGAACTAGTAGTAGAAAAAGAAAAAGAAGAAGAAGAAGAAGAAGAAGAAGAAGAAGAAGAAGAAGAAGAAGAAGAAGAAAGAAGAAGTACAAGAAGAAGAAGAAGAAGAAGAAGAAGAAGAAGAAGAAGAAGAAGAAGAAGAAGAAGAAGAAGAAGAAGAAGAAGAAGAAGAAGAAGAAGAAGAAGAAGAAGAAGAAGAAGAAGAAGAAGAAGAAGAAGAAGAAGAAGAAGACGAAGAAGAAAAAGAAGAAGAAGAAGAGTGATTGTTATGATGATGACAAAGACGACAACAACCATACACCCAACAGATTCATTGGCGTGGAAGATGAACTTTCTCGCTCTAGAGAACAATGTT